TTATCATGTGTTATATCCGATGATGGTAAAGCAAAAGCAAAATTTTCATTTTTTGACCAAACATAAGCAGTAAATATACTCAATGGTTTTGAGTTCCAATGAGCCTTCTGAATTTCATCTTGTTCTTTCATATTAAAATTCTCGGCGAAATCAACTTGCAATACAATCTTTTCGTCACTAGCTTCCTCTTTCAATTTTTCAAAACACTTTGATTGCTCTCGCTTAATATAAACATGAAACAAAAAATATTCTACTTTGGACTTCAACAACAATACTGCTTCATCAACACTTCCTGAAAAATCTTTTTTTTCGGCACGACCGTTTTCATTTATCCATTGTGACCAAGTAATTTTAGCATTACCATCTGAAACGTTTTCCTCAACTTTTTCTGTAAAGAAATCTTCACATAGTGAGCAAGAACTAAACATACATTCTTCATTATTTGTACTACAAACTAAACTATCAGTAAAAATTTGCAAAGATGAACAGAATTTTCCATCAACATATTTATCAATAGATTTCAAAAGTAAACAAATATTTTCATGATATAAACACAAACAATTCCTATGAGCCAAAGCAGCTTTTGGAACAACAAATGGTGGTCTCAATTCAGCAAATGACGTACGACTTAATAAAACATTTTTATTCTCTTCTTTGAACAATTCATAATTTTCACGTAAATTATTAAACAAAATTCTTTTTTGATAAGTTACTTTACTTCCATCATCCTCTTGAACAACAACTGTATCCTTTTTACCTGGCAATTGATATGAAACATCATCTCGCAAGTAGAAATTATGTACATCATTTTTTAATTTATCGGCAAGTTGCAGTGTAGTACGTTTATGTGTAGATTTAGGAACTAAACCAACACTTTGAGCAATATGTTGAATGATAACTTTTTTCTTTAAGTCGCATTTAGGAAGCGATGAATTTACTTTTTTTAAAGCCTTACCAAATGATTGCCGGCTCTTGAAAGAACTCGGAAAAGGTTTATCAATTAAACTTTGTTTTTTATTTTCTCGAAATTTTTGTTGACGCATTTTGTTTTCAGCACGAAATTTAGCTAAACTTGCTCCTCTTAATACTGTTCTTATTGAATTATTACGAGCACGAGCTTTTGCCTTCATTGCCTCGTATTTAACTTTATCCTTTTTAATTTTTTCTCGATATTTTTTCATTCTTTCAGCATTGGTCATAGCCATGTCAAAATCACAACAGTAAAAAAAAACAATTACTGACCTTAATCAAATAAATGTAACTGATAATTCGAAATAATGACAACAGAAAAGAAAATTTTAACGTAGTTTTTTTGTATAACGACTTCTTTTTATTGAATAGATAGAACTGATCCTTCTCTTCTCTCCTCGTCTATTTATACGCTGTAAACAAACAAGATAAAATTGTGAGAGAAAAGAAAGAAAAAAATAATCTAACGTCTTTACACGATAAAGGAGGAAAGCGTGTCGACTTGATCGATATAGGCATTTTTTGCCGTCAAGTGATAAAAACGATCATTTTCTTATTTTGAACGTCTATCATCTGCCTACGAGAGCTATATGAAAGGTCATTTAGTGCAGAATTTGACTTTAAGTCCGAATATATATATCAATTGTTATGATTATAATTAACCTTAGCTAAAAATATCGGAGAATAAATAGAAATTAAGACTATGTAAAGATACTTCTCTTTATATAAGCAAACCAACGGTCGAAATCAAGACTATATTCTACGTAGTGATCATTCCAAATATATAATATTGAAATATTTGCTGAATTATATAATCTGAAAATAATGCAAATAATCAGGTTTTCGTAACAGCGTTACGTTTATCTACCTCATAGTACGATATTTTTGAGAAAAAACTAGTACATCAGAATCGCCATGAAAAGTTAGTAATAATCCATTCATTTTTACACCAGTATTATGTACGTAACTTACAATAATTCTAAAATAAGGTCTTATCGTAACGCTGTTACGGCGATATTGATCAAGTATTATTTTGCCAATTTCTCAATATGAGAAAAAGGAAAGACGACTATTCTTTTGCCAAAAGAAAGGCTATAGTTGATAGTCTGCAAGACATTTGAAAGCGGGGATTCAGAGTCAGACATTAAGATGTACGGTTAGTTCCAAAGTAATACACAAAAAAGTGCAATAGACAATACTACAATTGATGTTTAGTGTATACGTTTCAACAGACTCACAGAAATAGTTTTTTGAATAACAAAATACATTTTTGTACACTTCCGAGCCTGCTCTACAACCTGACATAAACAAATATTTCGAAGCTTGAAATAAATACTTAATGTCTGAAGTGTCGCGTTACGCGGACAAGCCGATAAATACTATTCGTAATCAGAAGCTCCTTACTTCTGATTTCAAAAAGCTTTCATAGCGCTGATTCTCAAGTCGTCATTTTTTCAAGTGCACTCGTTATCTGGTCGTTTAACGCCACAGCTATAAATGCAAAGAAAAAAAGAGCCACGCACGTCAGCACTACCGCCACAAACAGAAACAGTAAAAGTATCCTATGACAACATCACTATGCACATTATCAGACCTGAATATTTTTTCTTTTGAAAAGAAATCTGTCATTTTCATTAGATATTTCGAAAGTGACGAAACCACGTCATGTCACTTGAGCAGCAGATACAACAGGAAAGTGAACGATTCTATGTTCTATTCGGTCGTCTATCTGATACACAATGGAGTGAAGCTGCAATGCCAGAAGTGAAGTCGCACTTGACCGCTCTTCAAAATCAAGCTCGCCTTACAAAAAACACGATTAATAAGTTTAATATGACAGTCGATAAGGAGTACAAACGTTTAGCCGATCTTAAAGGACATGGCGTTAGACACGTTTGGTACCAAGTTCGAGGTAAATTGGAACAACGTTTGGATGAACAAGAAAAGACATGGCTGCGAGAGTTTGAAAAATGCAAAGAAGAAGAACAACGTCTGGCCGTATTACAAGAACAAATCAATTCGGCTGAACAACATTTACATCAGTGTCAAAGTACCTATGAAGAGTATGCGAAGACAAAAAAAGAGCTCGATGAATTGTTGGAGTACTACTTTTTCGGCGTTACTCCTTCTTATCCTGATGAAGATGCAATGGAGCAGAAGCTACAAAAAGAAAAAGAGCATTTAATTACTCTTCAAAACTACCATCGTATTTTCATGCATACGTTTGAATTACTGCAAAAAGCCAATCAAGCCCTCAAAGTCTCTCTACGAGCACTTAACGATGCATTAAACATGAACACTTTCGACTTGTTTTCTGACTCTTCTTTTGCCGATATGGCAGTGAGTTCCTATCTGGCTAAAGCTAGAAATGCATCAGCTCAAGCACAACAATTTGTAAATGAAGCTAGACGTTTATATCCAAGTATGCCACATACTGGTGACTTGCATATAAAACAGGATAATCTTGTTTTTAATGTCATCTTCGATAATATTTGGACCGATATGAGTATGAGAAAAAAGATTCGTGAAGCATTGGATCGAATCTCTCACGCTGATGCAGTTTTAGCTAATATATTATTGGAAATGAAGCAAAAACTAAACAAATGCGAAACTGATCGAGATATGACCAGCAAAAATGTGAAAAGAATGGCGGCTGAACATTTTAGTGCGAGAGTCGCAATTGTGAAAAACATTATACAACCTCCACCTCCATATTCAACCACATAATACAATGAAATAACTGTGACTACTTAGTTATTTTTGTTATTTGTAAAATGTTACGAATCTTTTTTTCTTTTTTTCTTTTCGTACTTTACCCTCTTATTTCTAAGATTAATATAATTCATATGCTATTCTTTATGAGAACTGACATATCTCCAGACACTTTCTGGTGGCATTTATTGTAAAGAGCTGCACAGTCAAACATATTGTATTGATGTTGTAAATCCCGAGTTTAAAGAAATATCATTGGAAGACATTCAATCAAGGAGGAAAAATCTCATTCCGAGCCATTCGAATGGCTAGGAATAGATCGGAATGGCTTGAAATGGATGGAATGGATCGGAATGGCTATGGAATGAATAGAAATGTGTAATTTTCTCATAACTTTAAATTCGAACTTTAACGTCTTAGTATTGCTAGAATCGTCAATTTTTAGTTCTAGTAACTGTGTCAATTAGGGATGCAACGGTGAAGATCATTCACCGGTCTACCGTCACCGATCCAAACCGATAATCGTACCTACGGTTACGGATTTCACCAGTTCTCGATGAAGGAAATCTTTTTTCGAGAAAATAATGATGTTTCATAAAGGTTGACGAAAGTAAATCGAGGTCGGGGAGTCCGAATCTGCAATGGGATTTTCAAAATTTTGAACTCGAGTTTTTGGGTCAAGAAAATATTTTTTCAAGAAAGTAACGATATTTCATAAAAGTTGACGAAAGCAAATCGGAGCCGGAGAATCCGAATCTGCAGTCAGATTTTCAAAATTTTGTACTGAAGTTCTCTGTGAACTTGAACTGGAAAGGTTTCGCCGTAGAGGCCAAGGAAGTAACTTACAAAATTTTTAAAATCTGACTACAGATTCGAATTCCCCGACCCCGATTTACTTTCGTCAACCTTTATGAAATATCGTTAGTTTCTCAAAAAAAGATTTCCTTGGCCGAAAAAATCGAGTTCGAAATTTTGAAAATCTGACTGCAGATTCGGATTCCCCGACTCTGATTTACTTTCGTCAACCTTTATACAACATCGTTACTTTCTCAAAAAAAGATTTCCATCACCGGAAAAATTCAACTGAAAATATTGAAGAACGTACTTCAGATTCGGATTCCTCGACCCTGAATTACCTTCGGTCAAACTTTATAATGTTCTTTAATCCCACGATCTTTGACCTGCCGGAAACATACAGACACACAGGCAAGCCCATTTTATTTCATATGGCCCTCCCTTCAGTTGAGGGAATAAGCTCATGAAACGAGCTAACTTTAAGATGCAAAACAGTAATTTACAAAAGTTAGGCATAGATGTGAAAGATTCCGAATAGCTCGGAATGGCTGGGAATCGCTGGGAATGCCCGAGTGAGTTTTTTCCCCCTTGCATTTAATAGTGCTTCTATCACTCAAGAAGCGGGTATGAGATTCTAATGAGCAGGTTAAAAAAAATATCCGGTTCTCTGCTTCATCACGATCATGAAATCTTTCTCTGAAAGAAAATTTCGGATTTCTGTCAATGATCTCGTAAGAGAATAATCAGTTCTGAAAAAATCTGAAAACTACGTAATATTCGAGAATGTGAAAAGGATAATCTTCAAATAATTCAAAAATATGTTGTTCTCATACACAAATAAAACGAGATTTCTCAAGAAATAAATTCAATTATCAATGAAGACTATCCTTTTCGTATTGGATTAAATGCTTTTTTACTATCATTCTGGTCTTGAACTCATAAATCTTCATATTGTTTTGACCGATAGTATGCAGATTAAAGCAAATAGTAGATCGATATTCGCAATATCTTTTCTGAACATCAACTTGTGACGACTTTTTTTAGAAACCACGATTGATAAAATCTAGCTTAAACTTCTTCTAGCGCTACTATTATTTCATAAACAAAAAAGTCTTTCCTTTCCCTTTAATAGAAGATTTGCTTAGTTTAAAAGACTTCATCGAAACTAGGAATGTGACGGATGTATGATTAAGAATCAGTTTTCTATTATATTTTTTACTTAATTTGGTCATTAATCCTCTAAAAAACTGTTAAGTCTGCAGAACAATTGATTCAAATTTTTACTAAATAAAAGATTTTACCGAGAGTATATTTCAAATTAATATCTTTATTGAAGATATTTCTCTTTTTTCGACAGCAACTTCAGCTCTTTAGTAGCTAACAATCTCTTGGTTAGTTCTTTTATTTGTGAACCCACTTAAAGTGTTCTATTCTTCGAAAGAAGCCGACTTTGAAGAATATTAGAACAATAAATTTTATATCACAATACGATGCGAGTACAGCAATAGACAGGAAATTAAGCATGTAGATGAAAGTTTTCATAGTGTGTAGATAAAGAGTACATGAAAAATGTCTTTTCTGATTTGTTCTATGTGAAAAATTGATAAATGTTGCATATGGTTTCAGACGATAGGTTGATTACTATCGGCAGACTTCCATACTAAAGATGATGACTAAAATTAAACTTTGTTTTCTTTAATCTCTGTCTATTGGATTGTCTACAAAATTATTTATGAATCTCTCTCTTCTTCCATACATGTAGAAGTCGAACACTGCTTACGACTATCAAGCTTCTTCAACTATTTAACTTTCAACTGAGGGTGCAGGGTGCCGATAATGGGGGGAGGGGGGGGGGCAGTATGTTCGTGTGGATGCCGGAAGAGGGCAATATGTTGGTGTGGCTGGGATGGGAGGCGTGGCATGTGAGTGCCTCTGTTGAAAGTTGAATAGTTGAATCGACTTTACGGCTTCTACACTAGTGGAGTAAATAGACAAAATTGAATAGAGGTTAATTTTGTATTGACTTGTCCAAAGGTTAGGTCAATCAGGAATGAAATGCATATGTTTACTAATAAAAAGAATGAAGCACTAAGACGTATTATTTTGCAATCACACATTATTTTAGGATGACATTGAAATGAATAATCGAATGCGACAATAAAGCCAATAAATTATGCAGCTCATTAAACAATGTGTCAACATCAATCATAAGATGTATAAACAACTATTCCAAGAATATGCCATGTGAACTGAAACGAATACTTAATAATAAATGTATTTTTTTTGTGCTTATGTTAATAGAAAAAGTGTTTCCTGCATGATATACATGTTTTATATTTCTGTCTAAAACTGGGTAATATGTGTGTCTTATACTGAAGTATAGAAAGAAAAAACAGTAATATCTGAAGATTCTGTGTGTGATCATTTGACAGATGCTCAATATGCTTTAGACTAGAGAATGTATGAATGTAATTGTTGATTCTTATTTAAAAGAAAACGCCTCTTTATTCTTATCATGATGCGGGTGGAGTAGGTGTTAAAAGAAAAAAAATATGAAGGTGTTGTTGCTCATCAAACAAGAATAGTGTAAATGACTCAACAAGATAATCATGCGTTTCATTTACAAATATTATATTTCGATGAAAAAAGAAATGATAATCATAGAATGACTATAAAACATATAAATTTAGTTATCAGATGTGTATAGATTTCATATTTCCTTTCTGTTGATAATAATGACAAATTATATCTGCACGAATGATAGTTGTCATCCTTACGTTATTTTTATTATTATCGGAATTGTTTTGACTGCATTGGTATTATTTGTTATTGGTATTGCTACATTAATAAAACGCCACAATAACAAACAATTTAATCGTGTATTTAAAATACAAGAACAATTTCCATGGTCACCTTATTCGATTTCAAGTGTTGTAAATTATCCTGCACTAAGTTCACATTTTCAAACTAATCTTAATGAGAAAGTCTAACTTGGTTTTTCTTTTAAACAAATAAATGTCGATATACTTATTCTAACAAAATATCATAATTTGTTTTCCTATTTTTTATAATCATTTTCCAGTCGATAGAATCGTCATTTGATGGTTTAGATGATTAACATGGTCATATCAATAATCGCCATCATATATATTGATGTAATCTACTATATAAAATGATTCCATGTAATCATAAATTTGCATGGCGAATTCAATGAATATAAAGGGAAGAAATTAAAGACATTAAGTCACGAGAGTCTGAAATAAAACAATTTTCACAAATGTTTAATATGAACTATGAGTACCATAGGAAAATTTAATCGAATGAGACAACTGTACATTTTACAATGATTATTCGAAATATTTTGGTAGATTAAAGGTAATTCATTAACAACAATTAATTAAATATTTGTAAAAAGAAGCCACAAGGAACATAGTTATACTCTCATACCTTTGAAATTATCACAAAGTGAAAGATAATTTGTACTTTTTTTGATAATTTCAATTATTGCTATTATTGAATATCATCGTTAGGATATCAGCAACGGCAGTGATTTTGGAAATCTACTCTCAATTTTTATTGTTATGTTCATTTATTTTTATTATTATCTATATCTTATTAACATTTTTATTGAAAAACTACACTCGTACATTATTCCATATTGACGAAATACGTTGTATAGTCATTCATAGTTGGTACAAAACACAAATAGAAAAAAACAAATTAAGCATACCACTATCAACTATGCTCATTTTTAAGGTTTAATGTTGTGGTTCTAGTTTTCGTTTGACAAAAGATCATTCCTAAACGTGAATGCTTAGAATTTAAACATATATTTTTTATATTATCATTAATAATTGTAGCGTTTCCCAACTAGTATTTGACTCGAGTCGAGTTACGATAACAATTTTGAACTTCGAGGTGAATCTACATACTGAATATCTTGCATATACCAAAGACATTTTGAGTGTTGTTTTCGTTTAGAAATTCTATGTAAGAGACTGTGAAAAACCTTCATAGAACAAGAAGTCATGTATCACACGATTTTTTTTCTACTTCGTCTACTTTCTTTTTTTGTTGACATTTGGACAACGATGCATAGCAAGTGCACTATCTGCTTATTGATAATATAAAAGTCACAGATTATATACATAAGAAAAGAAAGATAAACAAGTAAAAATTCTATTAGATAATCTTATTGTTCCGACTGTGGAATATCGGTGAAGTGTCAAAGACAAATATAGGTAAAATATATATATATTTTTTGTTTCGAACAAGGAAATGACAGGAAGAAAAAAGAATTGAGAAATTGATTTTCTCATAAGGAAAAAGAAAAGACATTGATACCAAAGTTCAACTTAGGTCGAGTCACAAAAATTTGACCGATATCGGACACTGGTTCAAACGCGCTAATCAATAGCTAATAATAATAATAAAAAAAAGGAAATATGAATCTTACTAATTTATTGTTGATAACTTTTTTCGACAACGATAATAATAATAAAATACTATTTTTTATCACTTTTGAAAAATTGTATTAGTTTCTTTATTTAACAAAACATGAGTTCAGATATTATTCAATGAATGATTATGTAAAATGTTTTATGTGTCATAAGTGATAATTTAATTAACAATGGTCAATCTAAATAATATGTTCATTATATTAACATAATTCAAGCGATTTGGAAATTCATCTATTGTATTTCACTTTTATTTCTTTATGAATTTATAAATTTGATGATATTCTTCATTTGAATAGCTCTATTTATAATATCGATGTTTGCTGAATATTATGTTCAAAACACGAAGTGGAATGTGAGTGTAGATGGGTGAGCCTGAACCTTCTCCTAAGAGACTCATCCATTCACAATCACAGCCACATCTTTATGAATTTTCATCTTTTTTTCTGTCTTCCTAATAATAATATTAATTCATAGGACAGTTGCTTTGCATTGATTTCACTATTCTTGAATATTGTATTAAGTGTTTGAAATCATCATTAAAAAGATATTATATGTGTTGAATGCTTCGAAGATAATGTACTATAATTCAGTTGAATTATCGTATGTTCAAACCTAAATATTATCACGTTGAAACACAAATAAAAAAATTTATATTTTTAGATCTTATTTGATTGTAAGCAATCTTCATCATCTATTCTTATTCGATGTTAAAAATAAAACTTATAGACATTACATTGGTGATGATGATAGAGCCGATGATTTAAATCATTAAGAAATTTATGATTAAGATCAATTAAATTTAATGCATTCGTTAGAGATGTACGGAATGAAATTTCATTTCGAATAGATCACGACTTTGACATATGTTCATAGAGAAATCGAAAAATCTCTTCATTTTTCATTTTCGGATTTAGTTTGTAAACAAATATGAATTTTTTCACCTTTTGTTTTAATAATTGTTAGATAAAAGATATTTCTTTCAGCAATACCAGAATATTTAGATGTAATTTAAGATGCCACTCCTAAGCTTACTGATTAAAACTAAAATAAATCATGTATATCTCTAAAATTATCACGAATTTAGATGGTGTAACAAAGAGAACAGTTGAAAACTGATTTATTTCAATCTTAATGATCAAATATCTTTCTTTCATTACGTTGATAAAACAAAAATAAAAACAACAAATGTAACCCAATGCGAATACAATAATCACAAGATAAGAATCGTTTTCTATTCAAATAAGTTTCATTTTCATTTGTTTTCATTTGAAATATGGCAGAAAAATATTTCTTCTTATTATTATTTGTATGTTTATCATCACTATTAATTGAAAGAGTACATACTTATCAACCACATGTAATCGTTCGAATAAATAATATGACTGAATCAATGAAACAAGATGCAATAAAAATTACTCAACAAGCATTTATTAAATTTAATGGTTATTCAGCAAAATCTCGTTCATCAATTGCTCAATATATTCGTTATCGATTCGAACAATTACATAATCCATCATGGCAATGTATTATTGGAAAAGATTATGCACTTTCTATTGCTTCAGAAAATGAAAAACGTATTATACTCGATATTGATAAAGTTGCTATACTAATTTTTAAAGGAAAATGCTAATTCTTTATATCTTAATTTGTCAATAAAAATAAAAATAATAATAATAATTATTAATTTTAAGGGAATTTTTACTGAAAAAAAAAACAAAACAAAACAAAACACACACAAAGGCAAATAGAATGAGAAATAAAATTAGATCAAAGCTGACCAGCAGCATAGTATCTTAATATATACAAGAATACTCTTTCATAGTTGCCAAACTATCACATGAGAAAGAGCATCATCTTTACCCAATGTTTCATCATTATTCGTATAATCTTCAAAACCATCTCCAATACTAAGTATAAGTGTTTTAACAGTTGTTGCTTCTTCTGATGTTGAAATAACATTTGTATCAGTTGATATTATAAATCTAACAGGTCCAGCATGACCAAATGACAAACCTTTTAATTGAAGTGAACTTGCTGTTAATTTATTACTTCCTGAATCAATTAATTGTGGTACTGTTATATTTATTAAAACACCAGCACTTGTTCCAACCCACAGTGTTTCTTTACAAACATGAAGTGAACTTACACGTAAACAACCTAATTTATGAGCCCGAATTATATCATCACATGCTAAATACAAAAAATATTTCATTTTATTGTTTTTTGTTTTTAAATAAATTTTACCTTGAAGTTTTAGTGTAACTGCTGTTCTTATACTTATTTCAAGTAAACAAACAAAATGTGTTGCATGATAAAGACGAATTTCATGTGAACCTTGTGATGCAATCCATACATGATGCATTGATGAAACACCTGTAGCTATACTACATACATGACGATGACAATCATCGACAAGAAATGAATGCTAAAATTTATTTATTTTTATTTAAAATTTTGCTTAAAAAAAAACAAAGAATAAAAAAATAAAATTTTACTTCAACATTTAATGAATTCGGACAAACAACATAGATTCGATCTCGTACAGCACACCATAATCTTCCAGCAGCTAATGCCATTACAGATATTGGATCCGTATTATCTCCATCATCGATTTCACCATGTCCACTACCATGTAGAATAGAACTTTCCTCAACTGATCGAATTGTTGGACAATCTAAATCCCAACGGCCACCTACAATTTAAAAAAACAACAACAATTTTAGTTTTTATATAATAAAATAAATTTAAAAGTAAAATAAGTTTAATTACTCATATCTCGACGAAAAACACCTAATTCACCATGACTTAATGCAACAAATACCTTATTGTCAGTATATCTATTTAAATAAAATGATTTTATTAAAAATATAAGTATAAATATGAATTTAAACTTACAAGATGGAATGAATTGCAGAACCAAGTTGTTTTACAATACGACTTTTACGTGCAACTGTTTTCATTGTTTCTGTACATTGAAATATTAATATTCTAAAAATAAAACAAAAACAAAAATGAAAATGAAATAATCAATAAAAATAAATGAAACTTACATTCCATCATCAGTTCCTAACCACATTGTAGCTTCTCTTGTATCTTGTTGTTCATTATTAATATCACTTTCTAATAAAATACATTGTTGTGATAGTATTGTTTGATCTGATTGATTCAAGGAAAATATATCTTCATTATTAATCGTAGTTAATGTATCTTCATCATCACTTGAATCAATATCAAGTAAAGAATCAACTGTTGTTTGTACATCGGAATTATTTGATACTAATATTGGTTCTTGTTTAACAACCAATCCATGTTTATTTTGTTGTTGTTCATCTTCTTCTTGTTTTTGTTGATGATGATGATGTTTAATACTACTTCCTGTTCTTCGACCTTTATGTGATGGAACATAAGCAACACAATTTATACGTGATGATATAACTGTATTGCATGCTTTTAATGTTACATCAGATTGAACATTAACTAAACATACTTGACCTTCTGAATTACAAATACATATGTCACCTAATGATAAACGAGGAGTACCACAGGAAAACTAAAAGAAATTTTTTTTTTTTTTTTTTTTTTTCAAAAAAGAAAATATTTCAAGTTTTTAGAGAACAGACTTGACTTCCTGGTCGACTATGAGGAAGAGTAAGAACATTTTGAAAACTTATATTTCGTCGTCCAGCAGCAACTTCGACTAATCAAAAAAACAAAAAAACAAAGAATTATTTTCAAAGTTAAAAAACAAAATAATAACTTACAAAGAGCTTTCTTTGCTTCAAGAAAACTCTTTTCCCATGCTGCTTTAAGTTCAGATGACGAAAATAAAACATCAATTGTTTCTGTACGTTCTCTAAATATTAAAAAAACAAACAAATATGAATAATTCAATAGAATTTTATCTAAATACGTTGTATGAATTATTAATTGAATATTATTTGATTTTTGTTGATTATGATCAGAAGGAATTGGTTCAGGACTTGCTGTTCTAACACTCGTCATTGGTACTATTTCATCTGTTAAATGTTTATTAACGGTATGAAGAACTTCTTTTATTGACTCATCTAATTGCTAGAAGAAAAAAAATAAAAAATATTTTAATTGATTTATATTTATTAAGAAAAGAAAAGAAAAATATTTACTTGATGAGGCACAGTTATCGTTTTAGCTAAATCGGTCATTTGTCCAAGAGTAACAACATCATCTTCTAAATGTCGACATTTATCTCCACTAGTACTTGTTGTTGTTGAATGAAATTTTATCATTGATGGTGGTGTTCCTCTTTTCTTCAAATGATCTTTTTGAGAAAAAAACAAAAAAGACGTCATTTTGTACTTTTATCTAATATTCGGTAAGAAAAATGTCTCATGTATTTTATCAGTCTCTATAAGATCTATAATCAAAATTAAATCTCACAAGAAAAAATTCTTCAATAATTCACATTGTTTTCAATAGTGTTCCATTCATTTCCTAGATATATTTATTCAGAGAAAGTAGTTCAAAGCAGAACTCGAATAACAGAATTTCAAGTTATATACACCTATCTTAATCATCATAACGCTACAATCAAAAGATTGTCTTGCCAAGAAATTCTATTAAGACTTGTTAAAATAGACTATTTCGAAAATATTAATTTTAAATTAAACTTTCAAAATATTCTAAAAAAATCATATGAACTTTTTATAACTAAAAAATAGTCAATTATTCGATTTTTTTCAAGATAAAACTTAGTGAATTGTTCATTCTAGTTAATGTACTGAGCTCAAGCACTCGCAATAATACTCTACTGTCAATATGTCACAGAAATCTTTAGATTCTTCAGTACCTTAGGATATCTTATGAGTTTTCATCAATTGACTGCAAAATATTTCTTCTAAACGTTCAATCAATTATCTTGTTGAAAAATTTTTCATAAAATGTACAATACAAATGGACAAGTCATAGGGCGTATATCTGATAAATACTTATGTACTGAGACAATTCTCAACATTGTATTCAATCATGATCCTGTAACATACTGATAAATGAATACTTGAAAATGTATCCTGCTGACAATTGAACTAATAGATAGATATGTTCAACTCAATACATTCACTAAATCATGTCTTCAAAGATTTTTTTCTAGGACAATATTCATTGTGTTCTAAATATAAATATCATTGAGAATGACTTTAATCAATTTAGAACTGTCATTGTTGACGTTATTGATTGATTCATACAAATGCAATATTATTTATTCAAATGATTTCATAAATCATTGTACGACTGATAAAAGCAATAATGATCATTCAGAAATTAGAAAAAGAAAACTCTCAACACTATCAATAGAATAAATTCAAAAAATTTAGTTAAAACTTTTATAAGAAGTATTGAAGTAAATATACGTTAATATTTCGAACGAAAACTGAAGGATCATCTAATAATCTGTATAGATGATTGATAGGGTACTACCCATTCATTGTCACTTTTGCATATCAATTGATAATGACACATATCCACAATGATAAATCTTTCTTCGAACTGTTCTTATCTTAATTGGAATCTACTTTTGATTGATTAAGAGAAAAATTGATTTAAATAGTATACTCTTTAATTTACCTGCAGCTAAATCGATACTTTCCAATGAAATTTTCATAATTAATTTATGTTTTGCATTATCAATATATTGTTTTCCGGATGGAGAATTTCTAAAAAAACAAAAAGAAAAAAAAATAAATAAATATTTTCTTAAAAAGAAGCAACTATAATAAACATACACAATAACTGAAGTAGTTGGTTTTTTAGTTAAAGTTCCACTTCTCCGTTTACAACTAGTTATGATAACTAAATCATTGAATAAAAAGATATATCGATCTTTTTTTAATCCTGATGATGATTGAAGTGTAACAACATCATGACGAATATAATAACGATCAGCATTAACTAACTACATAAAAAGAAAAAAAAAACAAATTAAATGAATTTTTATTTTTTGTCAAATAAATGAAAATCAGACAAACATCATTTAAATTTTCAATCATATCTTGAACAGCGTCTAATGAATTATTTGAAACAGTTAATTCAGTTGAACCAACATCTCTTTGTACTCTATCAATTTGTTCAGCTAATGAATGTATTTCTGATTGTGCTTTAAGCAATAATTGATAATCAGGATGATTTGAATTTGTACATTTAAGAAAATCTTTAATATATAATTCATATCTTGGAATACGTTGCACCGGTTGAATTATCAAATCTCTTAATGTTAATTTACCACGATGATCACGTGCTTGATGTTCAAGAAATTTATTAAATGATGATGAATCACGACAAAGACGAATAGCAATTTGGGCTATTTTATAATTATTAACAAAACTTGTATAAGTTTCAATAACTGATGTTCGAGTAAACTATTTTTGATTAAATTAGAAAAAAAAGAAATTTCTTGTTATTCAAATTCTATTTACCATTTGTAATAGAAGATCACCAACTGTTTGTTTATTATCCCATTCAGATAGTTTTTGTGAAAGTGAAATAAGAAATGCCTATGAAAAGATTTTTTTTTTTTTTAATTAAAAAGAAAAATTAAAAATAAATAAATAAAATATACCGTATGATGAATATGAATTTCAGGTATTTTATAAAAAATATCATTAAGAAGATCATTAGAAATAACTGTTTTATCTTTCATTGGTAAATAATATTTCTAAAAACAAAAAAAATCATTTATTTGACATTGACAACTACATAAACAATCAAGAAGATTTCTCATTTTACAATGTCAATATTGGATTAAAAATATTCTTAGAAAACAAAAAAAACAATTTCTATATTTACCGTAACAAGATTTTTAAGTGCTTCAACATAAGATTTTTCTGTATCGAACATTTGCATAGCTATAGCTTTTCGTTTAGCCTAAAATATAAAAAACATAAAATAGAAATTTTTTTTTATTATTGAATAAAAAGAAAAATATTCAAAAGAGAACAAAATTAAACCTGCTGCCAACGACAATCTTGTTGTGGTGCTGAATGATGACGTCTAACAGCATAAAATGTGAGTTTTGAAATTAATGATTGATCATTAGGAATAGGCGTTGATGCGCGGATTATAGAAGGTGAATCTGATGTCTTTTGATCCGACATTAGATGGATCACATTTGACATTCCATGTATAAATATTATGTGTTTGTTATGTTGTCGTTAGATAGACTCATAAGATGGATATTAGATGAAAGAAGAGAAAAGGATGCGAAGGCGGAGGCATTTCTATGGTATATCTGATAATTTTTTTTTCTGGTAGTTGTCTTGATAAAGCAATAAGAAAAGAGAAAAGAACATGTGCATACCTCGTTCTTGTCGTCGTTCGTTCCACTAGACGTAGGAGTCAACCCTGTGAGTGATGTACTAGTTAGAATAGAACCATTCGCTGATAATCCACAAGTTTCTTCCATATTGACTACAGTCTGATTTCTTTCTCTTTCTCTTTCTCTTTCATTCGAACAACTTAATTCAGGTGTTGATTGACATGTTACATTTTCATTTGATTTTATTTCATCCGAAGATATTTTCATTGAACTTGGATTAACTTTATTTGCATTATTAAATGTATGACTACGTATAACTGAAACTCGACTATTACGTCGACCAAATGATGAAGTTGAATCTCCACTACCATCGACGAATTCAAAACGACCAATTGGTTCCTAAATTTTAACAATTTTTAAAATAATAAAATAATAAAAATAAATTCTATTTTACTTGATATTTTCTATGAACAATAACTGGTCTAAAAGGACTTAAAGGTTTTGGTGGTCGAATATCTGTTGGTGAGGGTGAAAATGTTCTTGTTTTAATTGATTGATCATTGTCAATAGGAGGAATTGTTGATGATTGATTTAATGTATGACGTCGATTCAATTCACTAATAAGATCAAGTAAAGGTCGACGATCAAACGTTTCTTCTTCATCTAATTTTGATGGTTCAACAAGATTTTCTGAGACAAAATCTGATATTATTGATGAATAAGAATCATCTTTTGATGAAGTTTCTTTATTTGAAGTTTCTTTATTTGAAATCATTTTTGAAGAAGATGGAAAAGAAAAATGTGTTTTTACTGTTTTATCCGTTTCATTTCTATGAGGTGATGAACTGACACTAACACGAACACTTTGTATAGAACTATTTGAAGCTATAAAAATGAAAATAAATAAAAATTTAATTATTTATTTCGAAAAATCAATATAATATACTTGAAGATCGTCTTTGTTGATTTACAGTAATACAAGATGGTGAAATTGGTGTTTCAGTTTTAATAATACGAGTAACTATAGGTGGTGATAAAGGACATGTACGTTGTTTAGTTGTACATATTTTTTCTTCTTGTTTTGTTTTAACTTCAACTTTTCTATTATAACTATTTGTTTTAACTTCAAATGAAATTTGTTTTTCTTTAACTGCAGGCATTGATCTTTCATGAACAATATTTTTATTTGTTATTTGAAATGGTAAAAGAGACGATGAATGAGATTGAGATTCCATTGTTAATAATTTAATAGCTGACATTGTTTTTATTTTACGTAATGGAAAATAATTTAATGATTTTTTTCTTAATTGTGGATAACTTTTTATACGATGAATTTTAATTTTCGAACTAAAAATAAATTTACAAAAAAAAAAAAAGAAAATAATTAAAATCAAATTTTTCTACTTTATATTTAATGGTTTTTCTATTCTTAAACGATAAGATTTTTTTTCAAAATATTGTTGATTAACATTTGAAGACAATTGATCGTCGTTTTGTTTCAACGAACGATCGATTTTTTCAATTGAATTATCCGTTTTTGTTAAAATTTTTTCATTAGATTTATTTTGAAAAATAGTTTGACGTGATTTACGTTCTAATTCAATTAATCGTTCAGTAAAACGTTTCAAACGAGCATATGCTGTTGTAGAATTTAATGAATTATATTCATTAAATGACGATGATGATGATGATGATGATGTTCGACAACGAAACCAACAAGAATTACGATAACGTGAAAGATATAATGGATTTGTTCGATTGAAATTTATATTATCAGTTGAACTATCGGAATAAACTCTTTCACGTCGATCATATGATAAATTATCTAATTGACCATTTGATAAACAAATCTTTAAAGTAAAATATAATGAATTATTTTATTTAAATAAAACAATTAAAAAACAACATAATTGTTTTTGTTTTAAAATAATCAAAATACTTGTTAAGATTAAAATATGAAGACTGTATTGATAATGAATCTTACTTCAAAGAAAAAAAACGAGGACGAGGACGAGGACGAGGACGACAAGGAGAGAATAGAAATAATTATGCTGCCTGTTGTTACATCAACACATACATATACAAGAGAGAAACCTCATCGGTACAATCAATATGAAATCAACCAAAAGAAAAAGAAAGAAAAGAGTTTTCTCGTCGTTCGTTCTGTATCATCATAGATAACCAAATGTCGATACATATGTCGAGCTGTTCGGCCTGATAGCTTAGCCTAAGGCATTGTCAAATATGGTCGATTGATGGGGAAGGATATAACATCACTCTACTGTTGTTGCCATTTAGCAAGACACTCTTCTTCTTCCTCTTCTTCTTTTCTTTTTTCTTCTAATATCTTCTTCGTCGTCTTATGTATATCTGTGAATGATGAGCTACAAGAAGAAACATAGAATCGCTAGTAGCAGCGGTGTGCTCTTTTGTTTTGCTCTTCGTCAGGGTCGTCGGCATCGTCAATATTTGTTGTTACCAACAAAAAAAAATTACTCCAGAAAGAAAAATACATAAGCATACACACAAACACATACTACTCAATGCATCCCTCGAGTAAAAACACGAGATCAATCAAATCTAATGTCACATATTTAAACAATATTAATTATTACAGAAAATAGAACAGGTTTTTATCGCTTTTTCATATATTTAAATCTAATAAAGTTGATGAAAAGTAACAAGAATATTGTGTATTTAATAAAAAATATCATCATTATTATACGAATAAGAAAAAAAGATAGATAACGATGAGTGGGAATGAGATGAAAAAAAATATATTTTACGCTATATTTTTCTGTCAATTGGCCCATATACTTGGTGGTCTAGAGTAGAAATGAATCAAAGAATATATATATATATATATATATATATCTAAAACCGATTATGATTAATGAGTACCAACAACAATTTCCAGCTTTCCATCCATACATGTCTTTATAGACATGCATAAATGATTATCTTATTTATCTTTTTAGATTTTTTAAAGAACAATAAACTTACTGAAAATCTTCGTCGCCAATTGATATTTGTTACATAAAGGCATTTATCGATATCTTCATTAGATAAAAAAGATGTAAATGAGCTTGTTAATGTATGAGAATTTTCATCATCCGACGTAATTGAAGATGATGATCCATCACCTTGTGCTTGATCATCATCAGTATTGTCTGACAATAGAAGTTGATCTTCCATAATATCTACTCTATCTGTCTTTTTTTTTCAGTATATTTATATATGAATCTAGTCTTAAGAGGAAACAAGTACCCAGATGTGCAATACGGATGATGATGAAGATGATGAAGTTGATGATGATGATGATGATTATGATTATGATGATCTTTCTTCTAATAGAGAACAAAGAAAGACAAAAAAAAGAAAAGAAAAGCAAAGCATTGTTGGTAAGTGTCGACGGGTGAGTGTCTGGATAATCATCATCAAACAAATGTCAATAGAATTTCGCTTTTTATCATGTCCAAATCATTAGGTTTTTTTTCTTTTTCATTTCTTTGATTAAGTCAACTACTACTTTATCTACATACATGATCATTAATAAAAATACACGTAAGTTCATTAAGAGATATAATTATATAGAAATTTAGTCAATACATAAGCATAATAATTGGTATTAAATATTACTACCTATTTTATGCTGACTATTGAACAATAACAATACCGAAATTGAAGACTTTCTTTATTAAAAACAAAAGAGTAAAAGCAGATGTGTTCGTTGATGGATTAAACACAACAAAATTTCTTTTTTTATTTTTATAGAAAATGCATTCATAGTTTTGAATAAAAGCGTTTAAGATGTATTCCCCCTCCTCTCAACTATCTAACTTCGATAGGATACATCAGATATTGATGAAACTTTTCATAGACATTCGACTCAGAATAGTGCATTAATAAAAGAAAAAACAAGTCACACCTCCATACCTCTTTTCAATTTGATGAGCTCAAATTGAGTTCATTGGACAAAAAACTTCTTGACATTTTGGATGAGGAAAAAGGTTTATTTTAATTTTTACTTTATTTTATTTTTCGAATCATCAAAACTTCAAAAATCTGAAGATATTATAAATGGTTTTTTTTAAATTCAAGGTTTTTCTATCATTGATAATTGATTAGAAAAATTCTTTCTCACATCTGAAGAGCAATACACATATCTAATAATAAAATTTGTTCACAATTCGATATTTACCAAACAAAATCAATTTTGAGAAAAATGCAAAAGAAGTTTTTCTTTTAATATTGTCTTTCTACTTAAGTATTATAACTTAAAATGAAGATGAAGCATAAATATGTAACATGTCAATCAAATCATTTATCTATTTATATTAGATTATTCTCATACGAGATACATAAATGATATATAATGCTACCTCGAATTGTTTTTCTATTTGTTATACCATTCTGAAACGTAATAAAAACAGAAAAAAACAAGAATAATTTTTTCGAGGTTACTGATTATTTTACAGTTTTTTTTTAAAGATTGTTAATGGTGATCAGTTTTTATAAATGACTCATAATAAATATGTATTATTATGTATTATATAAAACATCTACTTTAAGAGGTGTAATTGAGGATAAGATATAAATCCCAATTCTCAATATTTGTCGAAATAATGCAGAGATCATGCATGAAATTCCCAGAGACCTTCGAGAATCAAAACTATTTTTATGCATTCGTACAATAGACTATTCAGGCAACATGTTCATATGTTGATAGAAAAAATTATTTTTTTGATCAAAATCTAGATTTTGAGGGTTGACCTTAACTATTTGATTAAACATATAATAGTAAGACATGCAATAAAAGCATCAATTACTAATATAATTGAAATTATTTTTTTCTCGAGTTTTTATTAAAGTGTTTTACTTTTCTTGAAAAAAAAGACTCTTCAATCAAAATTGAAAACATCTGATTCTGCTTCATCGAATTCCGTTATAATAAGAAAGTGAGAAAGTTTTTCATATCAAATGATACTTAACATCGAAAAGAGCTTAGATTCACATAATGAAAATTTAGTTTATCTTTAATATGAACTGAATGATACCTGTTTCGGAAAAAAAGTGATTCAATTACTTCAGTGATCAAGTTTCATTTTACCATGTTCAATGAATAATAGTATTAAGTTTGGTATTTCTGCCTTCGAATAAAACAGAACTGAAAGAATGAAAAAATTGCACGTTATAGATATAAATTCATCTCTATTGTTTGATAGACGACAGAACTAATTTTTCTCTAAGGATCGAGAAATTAACATAGTGATATCAATTTATTGAATTAAATTAATGCAAAGAGAAACATAATAATTGACCAGAAAAAAACAAGAAGAACAAGAAAAAACAAAAACAAAAATAACATCCCACAACGATGCTTAGCTAATCATATACATCCTCATAATTATCTCTTCTAACGTAGATATTAGTGATACTCTTTAGGCATATTTGTATTCCTTTTTTTGTTATCGGTCGCTTTTGCCCGCAGTTCTTCATTTTTAACAAGACGATTTTTTTCAGGATTATTACAATAAGCACCACAAAGCGTATCACATCGAAAAATATGTCGATATTTTGTAAACTGACGACGGTATAATTTAATCAAATTCGTCTATTTAAGAGGAACAAAAAATAGTTCTGTCGTTTCAGTTAAATCTTGAATATTAAATGTATATAAATCGATTTCATGAAGTTAAAATAAATAACATCATCAAATGTTTTATTACGTGCTTCTTTGCCAACTGCAATGTACAGAACATCTAAAAAATCACAATGACTTAATCGTATACATTTAAAAACTTCAAAAACTTACCATCAAAATTATGCATTGCGTAAATTTCAGGACCGAAATCGAATTCAAGACGATGATATACATATAAATTGACGCCATACAGATAAACTTTCTTACTCGACTCAATATTTGTGCTGTGATACAGCAGATATTTTGATCGTTTCTCATTTGGGTGAATGTTAATAAGTCTATCATATTCAAATTCTTAAGCCTCTGTCGTTTAAAATTAGTTCAACTGAGATAAGTATTCAAATTAGGATTAACAAATTTCAATGATAATGTATAAAATGTAAGAAAATCTATTTGAGATCATTGATAATGGGATGATGATTCGAAATTTGGAAAATAGATTCATTTTTAAACTTGTATTTCAATATAATCATATGTTTAGTGTTCAGAAGATTCATTTTCTATAGGAATTTGTCTGTTACTGCTCAAATTATCAAAACATTCTTGATTTATACCCATATTCAAGCATTTTCTCAAACAATCCTAAATGAAATTATCCATAATATCGATCGAACCATGAAACATCAATATGTTAAGATTGACAATAATGTCTAAAGTCATCCAGTTTTAATTCAATTCGATATATATAGTCTTGATCTAATCACAATGGATATGGAAATGTTTCATCTAAACAAAAAGAATAAGCAAACAGAAAATGTCAAATAAACCCCCTCCCATAATAGAAGCTCCCAGGAGCTTCTAAACTGACGAACGTTCAAAGTTTTTGGAGGGGGTTTCTATTAGGTCTCATGATTTTTCAAAGATTCTAAGTAGAAAAACTTTTCAAAAATGCTAAAGGGTTTTCCGGGTTTTTATGGGTTGTTTGAAAGATTTCAGAAGATATTTCGAGATTTTGATACCGATAAATAAGAGTTTAACACATTTTTGCCGTAAAATCTTGCAATTTCTTAAATTGTACTATGAAAAACTCATCAAATTTTTCAAAAAATTCTTAACATTTTTTGAAAATGAAAGGGGCTTCTATTATGTATGGGGGGGGGGGGGGGGGGGTTATCGCATAAAAAGAAGGAGAATAAACATTCAGATGCGAACATACTTACCATATGACTTATTTTCTGTTCTATATCATGTCAAAAATTGTGAAGTTGTGGTAATAGAACTTGTCATTTTGATTGGAGATGACTATGGCGAACGTGGAATCCGTAATTTTTTTTAGACTGTAACTATCAGAACAGAAATAAACGTTACCAGAAAAAAGAAAAATTGTTACTCAAACAACTTACTGATGTCGTGATTTGAACTGTAGAAGGACAAGAAATGCTTCAAATCATTTTTGATGACTTCTTCTTTCCTCATTATCATTTACATTAGACATTGGTACAGAAACAAAATTGACAATTAGCTTTACTGAGAGGAAAACATGCAGTTAATCAATACGTTACTACTAGCATTTCCAATGAAAACCGACACAAAATTGTGTTTACACTTTGTTTTCATCCAAAAATGACACAGAAATTAGGTTTTTCCAGAATATAAAAAGAAACAAAAACTATGTATGTAAACAGAGATCGGATGGAAAAAGAAAAGCTATATTTAACGAACGATATAATCAGACATAATAGGTTAAAATCTACTATCATCCAAACATTATCTTAAGTGTAATAATATATACAACTTTTAAGAGCCTGAAATCAAAATGTTAATCTCTTCATCAAAGTATACATAGTGTACTATGTTTTTCTGATACAAGTGCAAAACAACATGTATTTCAGAAGTAGCAGATGTTTTGTGCATTTTTCCTCTGCTTTATATAGCTAATCTTGTAGAGACTATCCAGTACTACTCGAATCATCCTTTACAGTCTACGTTTTATAATTCGTTGACAATGAAAATATATGTATCACTTGTCAGATAGCGAAAATTGTTGATATGATCATGAAATAGGTTATAACGAGTGTTCCGAATGAAGATAAGAATAGGTGAATGATCGGTCACAGTGACTGTTTATATTATTCTCAATCTTACCATCATCAAAATTTGATAGTTCCGCAAGTCTTATTTATCTGCTTGTAAAATAAGCTAATGAACATACAGAACTCAACTGAAGACAAAGATTTAATATGAACAGTTTGACGTCATAACTGTAAAATACGACCTTTAAGAACAGAATGAGAAAACAGTTAAATTTCTTAGAAAATAATGTTCTTGGATCCCAGTTCGATATTTCTTTAGTTTTTTTCAACAATGAAATGCAACTGAACGGGTTAATGAATAGTTGAATTGCAAATTCTGTATCAATTATCGAATAAATTCAAATTTATAGCACTAAAATATTCAAAATGTGCTTACAATAGCTAATTTTCAAAAATTTCCTCACCAATAATGAAACTTTTCTAGATGGAGAATATGTCTTCTGATTTTTAACGTAAATCAGAATTTTGGCGATAGGCATTTCTTCACCAAAACAATGTATGTGTGTGTGTATGAGTTTTCTCATCACGAAACAGTCATAGTTTGTTTTGCTGATTATTAACAATGCGATTGTAAACTTTAATGATTAGTAGAAAGTAGAAATTTGTTTCATAGTTAAAGTATCAAACAAAGGAAAAGCTCTTATGTTATGTTGAAAAAAGTTGTGGAAAGGCAAAAAAATATGCTGTTCATAGAATGATCGATAATTATCATTTTAGAGACTGATTTTAATTTTTTCATGTTATTTAAAGAACTCTGAAAACATAAATTCATATTTGTGAACGATTTCAGTTCTGTGATAAAATTAAGAGATTGAATTTGACAAAAGGTTTGTTTCGTCGTGCACTATGAAATGAATTTAATATTTGGACAATTCTTAGACCAAATTACGAATTGGAATTATAGAGTTTCAGCGAAAAATATTGAAGATATAGATGACGATGAAAGATATCGAAAAATCACCTAAAGACAAATGCCCATAGGCATATTTGTCATTGTCAGTGTAAAAAGACTTACATCGGATTATTAAAGATAAAAATGAATCTTAATTTGACCAGTGTTTTCGTGTTACAATTCCAATATAACAAGTATTTATATTTCAAACAATAAATTCAAAAAATTGTAACTAATGCTATTTGAAATAACAGAGTTACCTCCGTGGCTAAAAAAAATAAATTTATGTACCCTGTACCACTATCAAGACATGAATTCGATTTTGCTAGAAAATACAGACGAACTTTGTATTTGACTTTCAGATAAATCATTCATGTGCATATTGAAAACTTAGAAATTATTCATTTTATGCCAGCAAACTCGAAATCAAACGTTCTAAAAAGAATCTGTTGTTCAATTCTGTTTGAAAAACATGTTTGTGTAACGCAGTTACAAAGAGATCGCTGTTCTTTGATGTATTGAGAACTGAAGATTATAAAAATACATGTAAAACCTTTTCTTACTAAATATATTTATTTTATAAATAATGAAAGTGAGCAATAGTTCGTGTTATTCACGCAGGCACTTCTATAGCAGCATCGGCAATTGGTAGTTCTGCTCGTAAATTTCCCGTTTTATAAAATACATATGCTGTATCGACCGCTAAAATCAACGTAACTGCAACGAGATAGGTACTTATTAACCTACCCGTTAGAAACATCCACCCAAAAAATTGCTCTACAAATGCTGATGAAAAGAATGAAATCGATATGCTGAACATAACTATGGCTTCGTACAATGAATGTGTTTTTGTTTTCTCTTCTGGTCTATGGGCTTGTGTCAACAGTGCTGACGCTCCTACATAGCCTAAATTCCATCCGACACCAATTATAAGAAGACCCAAATTAAAATGGGAAACTTCAAAGCCTCGTTGAAACAGCAAAGTTCCTGTTAATTGAATAATCATTCCAGTTAGCATAATCACTCGACTTCCAAACCAACTACACAGACTTCCACTGATAAATGACGGTACAAACATGCCCAAAAGATGACACTCAACTGCTGTTGTCACTTGAGTGAAACTGTATCCAGCAGCAGTCATCGCCAATGGTGTCGCTGACATTTGAATAGCCATTGCTGACCACGATACAAATCCGCCGAGAGCGGCAACGAGAAATGTTCGTTGAGTCGCTATGACATATATTGAACGACCACAGTTACTAATACTACTTGCAGTTTGTGCTAAAGAAGTCGGAACTGGCCTGTAGTCAACATTCTGTATCTCAGTAAATTGAATCATTGTCAAAGTGAATAAGAGTAGCGTACACTCACACAATGTTGTTAAATAAGCGCCACTGAAAGGTTTTGGTAATGCATTGACAGTATATTTGGCGATCTCCGGTCTAGAAAGGTGAAAAATAAGAGTGATTTATTCGCTATTTTTTAGTAAGCGTAACTAGGAAGAAAATTAAAGTAAATGCTACAATGATCATTATTTTAAAAGACACTTGTGATGAGCTTGAAACATTCTGAAAAAATGCAAATGTTAAAAATATTTCGAATAGCTTTTTGACTAGAAAACTTTTCCTTTTGCCATGCTTTTTTACGGATGGTCTATTTCTCATAATGCTTACGTTTCGTTCAATGAAAGAAATTCAACAAATGATATTCAACTTCTGATCAAGACTTAAGCAAGGCATTAATACACAGTAGACTACTATTATAATTACATATTTAGAAATTGTAAGCACATACTTAGAATACAAATATCATTTATGTCCTCATCGTATGGGCTAATGAAACGCAGAATGATAATAATAGAGTGAGACTCCAATCTAGATTCGATATCCTTATGCTTTTTGTTTCTTGTCTTTCGCAATACAGCAAATACTTTGATCGGTTGTTGTTGCATTATTTATCAACTTACCCGATAATAGAAGAAAGGCAACCGCCGGCAATGACCATTGCAATTGCTTTTGGTGCAAATTCTGGTGTCGAAAACTGCAATGCTACGAGACGATAGTATAGCGTACATGGCACTTGTCCACCTAGAACCGCAGCTCCTATTAACAATAGCCAGTAAAGTCTATACCATGTGCCCAAAATGCAAATTCCTGCCCCTGTCATTCCCATTAAGGCTCCTAAGTAAAGTGGTGGCCGATACCCATATCGTGCCACGGCGCGCGGCAAAAATACAGACCATACAGTGCCTACCAAAAGCATAGAACCAATTGGAATCGTCGCTAAGTACCAATTCGCAAAGCTTGTGGCGGCCAGCGTAGTTGTGCTTATTTGAATGAAAAATACACCTTCACCGAGACTCCATGACCATGCTAGTAGAAAGATATTCCACAGCATTTTGCGAAACTGCGCATCAGCCCAACGAGTACGAAGACCCGATATTGACCAAAATGGAGGTGGTCGTTGGTCATCAGGCTGACTTTCTTGTTTTACGACATTCAATGATTCACCATTTGTCGAAGCTCGATGCTCTTGAAGTACAGGACTCTTATTGGCCATAATCAAACCTATTCGATAAAATGGTATTGTTAATCGTATTTTTTTAATACATGATTATTAATTGGCTATGTTGAAGTATATAGCCAAAGAGGAACATTTCTTTAAAGTACTCTCCATACACACACGCACACACACATACATACAGATATGAATATTTCAACATACTCTTTGTATAATTCTGTGACTGACTATGATAGAATTGATAATGAATCTTGTTTATGATGACACAGTATTGATTGTGTTTTATATTTTCGTTTCAAGGTGATTTCACAGAGAGCTTCATCTCAGAGAAATGTCATCGAAAATGTCTTTTTCAATTTCATCACTTCATTTCTTTCTTGTCTGATATCTAAGAAGACTCGCATCGATAAATCTATGGGTCTACGAATTCATGGATCCGGACTCCGACTTGGCCACAATCGGACTCAGGTCTCAAAAGAATTTGCAGATTTTTATTTGTGTCTTCTCGCACTTTCAAGATTCTTTGTATTAGTAAACCTAACTCTTATCGATCTGTTTATAGTTGCATCATTTTTTGTACCTCTATACTTCTATTGGAACTCGCGTTTTCTGAAAATGTCATGCTTTGATCTATTTTTACTCGTATGTGAATTGCTGAAGGCGACTGTAAAGTTACTGCATGGAACTACGTAATTTCAAACCGATTTCCATTACAACGAGTTGTTACCTTAGAATGTGTAAGATTTCCAACAAATGTTCTTATTATATCGATCTATCTATTATGGTCGCAATTCATTTCCTAGCTATTTTATGTTCTTAAGCAAATTTTACTTTAAAAAATAATAGTCCTATCTATGAAGATGAATGCGACTCAAATCTAGAATTCAATAAATATACATATGATTATTCTGGTGTATTGATAATGATAAGTCATGAATGTCATAATGAGTAAATCTGTTTGATTTTTTATGAATTTTCTGTTGTTCACTACTATTTATAATAAAACGTCGCTGATGTCTCTGATTTCGACGAATTAATGAGTAGTCGTTATTTTTCATTGAAAACTGTCTTCCATCCTTACACTATAGTACTAACCAGTACGATACATATATTTGAACAACTTGTTGACGAGCATTTCCATTGAAACCAACTATTCCAACCAGAAGTCATGTTGAATTCAAGGATATCATATGATTTCAATAGGATTTTCTTCAGTCCGTTGCTTAATTGAATATCATATATTTGCTAGTGCTTGTGTGAGAACGGAAGACAGTTTTTCTACGATAGAACACGGGCTATTCGCTGATTCGTCAGAATCAGGAACATCTTCAATATTTCACTATAATTAGTGGCGGACAAGAGAAAATTCATAAAAAGCCTATCAGATTTATTGATTATGACTATAATAATCATATTTACATTAATTGAATTCCAGTTTTGAATCATAATTGTTGCTTAGTCATAAAAGTGTCAACTTGTTTTCATTGTCATAGATGCCACTGTTTGTTTTTAAACGAAAACTTGTTTAAGAATATACTATAATAGTTAGATTGATACAGTCAGATTGTCACTTAGAAGTCATATAGATCCTAAGGAGAAAGCTGATTGTAATGTAAATAAACGTCTTGAAAGAAGTATTAATTTAACATATGCACGGCACCACATAACTCCTGTTATAATGAGTATTCATCTATGAAATCTTTTCATCACACATTGAAGATAAGGAGGCTTGGAAAATTTGACGAGTTGTTTTTATTCGATTTTTTTCGTTGTTCTATGTTAATTCCTTCATTGAAACAAACAGTATTCTTAACTTCTAATTTATTCGTATTCGTGTCTGTAATCCCAATAAGGCAAATTACGGGTAGTACTCACATGTATGTTGTTATATTCTCCTCTTCGTCATGCTTGAGATATATTGTGTATATGTTGGTTAAGTGAGACGCAAGATATTTCTTTGTTCTCTTATCATCATTTTATCCAATGTACATAAACAAAAAAAACCGAAAGCGAGGAATATTATGATGCATTTGACATGTGTGCATTATGCATCCGTTGTACAGCAGCCGAACGAACTAGAAAATAATAGTAATATAGACGTTGAAAAGTTGATTTAATAAAACAAAGAGTGTTAAACTTATCAAATGTTGAAAACATACCAATCAAATTTTCAAACGTTTTATTTGCTAGCTGCGTCAATTCATATAGCTAGCCACTAGGATCTAGGTAAAGAGAAGACCCATATTCACATCTATATCCATCCATACTCTTTATATCATTGGGTTCGACAAAATCATACTGTCGGATATGACAGGATTCCATCGACAAAATTTGATCAATTCTAAAAGTAAAAAATCGTCGAAAATTAAAGTATGTTGATGATTTCTGACAATCCGATGCTGGCCGTTGCATATTGTTTGATAGCTTATAGGTTCAATAAGATCCAATTGGATGAATTCGACCTAGTTTTCTTTGTAATATGCATTATTTTCAATCAAATCAAGTTTGAAGTGTCTCATGAATGAAATTTTTCCATGCTTATAAGGTGTAAATTTGTAAAGTAATTGAAATTTTTTGAACTCAACATCTGAAAAATTCTCATAAATCTTGATATTTAATATTGATGAATCCATTTTGTGATGCGCTTTAATTTAGTATGAACTTTTTTATTGATGCTATTTAAAATAATAAGATTATCTTATTATAAAAACATTTTTACGAATTCTATATGTATATATTTCACTTTTGATTTTGACAACATGGAAGAAAACGTAAGTCATTTGCCCGTAAAATTATTCAAGATAACTTTCGTACACAATAAAATAAACATTTCTCTTATTTAAATATCATTATGACATCTGAATGTATACCATAAGGATTGTTACTCCATATTTGAATGTTTTCGAGTAAATTGACTTTCAATCTTTTCGAATATTTCAATACGAAAGAATTTCTACAATTCTCATACAATTGTTCTCTCGCTCAAAATATATCACTTCACATTGAACATCTGTTTATTTCAATTAATACATTTCTCAATCTTAAATTACTTTTTACTATTTTTGGATAATAAATAGAGAGACTAGTGCCTCAATATGATCAAATAAGTAGATCAGAATATCGAAAATAGCATTGAAACTAATAGAAATCGAATTTCAAAAGTTCGAATTATTCAATATAAATTAAAAATTCTTTTAAACTTATTTAAAATTTTCGAGAAGTAAATGCTCTGTTTCATAGTGAGATGAGACTTTCAGAAAAATAATACAAAGATAGAATAGTCAGTTAAAAATATGACTTTCGATTTTACCTTATTCAAAATCTCATGATATCGAAAGTCATTAGGATTACGTGATACTCTGCTTAAAATTCATTATTAAATAAGAAATTCTACAAAATTTTATAGTAAAAACTGTTTTCAGTACGAACTCGAATACAAAAAAACTCTCCTTTAAAAATGTATGCGTGTACGTGTTTGGTGATGAAAAAACCTTCACTCACATCTACTCTAATCATTTCAGTTTGGTTGAACAAACAATTTTGAAGTACTTTAAAATTGCGATTTTCGAATTTTCTTTAATTAAATATATCAAATTATTCTTTTCATTCCTCATGCTTCGTTCGTACAGGTAAGACGTACTTTGCATAATCGTTCCTCTCTGTATTACTGTTTATTATTTACACGTCCTATTGTTATTCTCCCGCAGTATACCTTACGGGCAAAACGGGCAATAGTATGACGCAAAGCCACGATAATTACCACAATCAAGCTGATTTCAATCAACTACTGCAAATGGAAGCAGAAAATCTAACTAACNGCTAACTTAAACGAATTTCGGAAGGCTTGGCTACAGGGCGAGTTTCCCATTAAGTGGATCAGAAGATCCAAGAGATTCGTTGAACGTTTACCGTTTTTAGAAAAAGTTGCAACATGGCTTCGGTCATTACCCGATTCTCCTTCGATTCCCCACTTTGAGATGGAAGATATACAACTACTTCAAGAATTTCCAGAAACATTCTTGTCTTAGGGTCATGGAGTAGTTCCTAATCCACGCACTTGAATGAAAAAATCCACGCACGTGAATGAAAATCTCGATGTCTTTCTTTTTGTTCTTATTTTTTATCTTCCATCTCAAAGTGGGGAATCGAAGGAGAATCGGGTAATGACCGAAGCCATGTTGCAACTTTTTCTAAAAACGATGAATGTTCAACGACCGGGGTTGAGTTTTTCCTATAATGTAGAACAAATTTGGACGCATACGCCTATACAGAAGATAGAACCTTAATGATTTTTACAACAGCGTTCATTCCAATTTTGAGGGTGTGGGTGTGGGTGTGGATATTGATGAAAAGAGTGTTCACACCCCACACCCAAACTCACCCACACCCACACACCCACACCCTCATCAAATAAAATATATACAAAAGAAATATTGAATTTTTTTTTTAATAATAAAATAGATAAATGTTCAAATTGTCGTTTGATAAAAGCTAAAATATATTTTTTTCTTTCAGTTGCATACTTATTTTCGCTATCACTATCAGTTGAGCAGGTCTCCGGTAATTTTTTAAAGAGTCATCGAGATACTTTCAAACTATGAACGCTGATATTTTCTATGATTTATGTGAACTGATACATGAACTGAAGATGAGAAATTTTTGTTTCATATGATTTTATTACAAAGTCTAAAATGACCAAAAAAAGGTATATCCGAGCAAGTCTTTATTATGTCAATACATTTTCATTAATGTTTAAAAAACAGCTAATAAATTAAATTAAAAAAAAGTTGTCTTTGAAGATTTTTCCTAGAACACTAGTTAAATGTCAAGAAGAATTATTAAATCATTATTTTCTTGTTATGACTTTGTTATGCACTTGATCCATATTTCTTTTTAAGTTGTTTTTCTTTTATATTCATAAAAATGTTATTGTAAATCAACATATATATATATTGAAAAAAACCTCACATTTAATGAAAATGGTATATCAGCAGATGTGGCATCGAAGGTCTCTGATCATGTATCAAATAGAACGTAACATAAAAGGTCTATTCAAAAATATCCACAAGCAATTAATCGAAAGAGAAACGAGAGAAATGCAACAGCTGTTTGTTGTATTCGTCGAAACATTTTCGTTCGATGCCTTCTATTATATCTAAAGTACGACATATAACGTATGACAATGAAAATATAGTCAAAGTTATTTTCATTTTACTATACTGAAACATTTTTCGAATAAAAATAATATATTGAAGTAATCATGTTAGATAATATTTCTCTTAATACAAGTTTACAATCAGATAAGAGCATATACAATGAATAATTCCAGTATTGATACAATTTTTTCTCATAACACACAAAACTTGACTCCTGATCATAGTCAAGTACGTGTCAAATTTACATATTCATTTGATAATGATCAACTTTTACCAATAAAACAAACAACTCTTGTTAAAATGGAACCTTGTTTCAATGTTATTGCAAGTGAAGATGAACTAACTAAACATTTTTATCAAAATAAATTACAAGTTATTTCAAAGAAATATGATACAATTCAAGATATTCAACAACAAAAACTAAATGAATCAGATAGTGTGGAGAATGAATATTCTCCTCAACTAATTGTAAGTCATATATAATACAAATAGAAAGTTTTTTATTGAAGTTTGTTATTGTAGAAGGAAAGAGAATTAACTCATAGGGATATTGATGATAAACATGCTACTCCTAATCACTTAACATATTCTTCATCTAAAAAATCTATTTTAAAAAAATCTCAAAGAAAAAAAGAAGAAAGATCAATACCGAAAAAAGATCAATTATCGATATCTCGTTCAACTTCTCTATCATCTTCAACAAAGCCAAAAACATCTTCCAATCGTCTTGATTTTAATCAAGTTTTACATCTTGCTGAAGTAACATCTAAACAATATGCTTCATCATATCCTTTTTATTCTCGTTCTCTTTTTGATCAAACTTTTAATATATTTGATCCGAACAGACCGTATTACATGACAACAAATAGTTATCATCGTCCATTTCGATCTCAATATTATATGAAACCCTATCGAGAACAAGTTAATATTCCCATGAACATGAATAAACAACGCTCAAGATCACTTTCACCCAATCATCTTGCACAACAATCAAATAAAACTTCTCGTTCAAATACTTTTACAAATCAACATGCTCGAACATTAAAACGACAATTAAATAGGAAACAACATATTTCATGGTCTCCTGTAAGAGTATATATCGATCGAGAAAAAGATGATACAACCATAGCAGCAAATAAAAGGCAAATATTTATTTTCATTTTTGCTTTAATTTAGTTTTCATTTAGAATGGAAAAATCTTCCAAAAAAACAAATTCTTCATTATCAACACGTCCGTCTCTTTCATTAATGAAATCTTGTCAACAAAATTCTCCTTCAAACATGCCTGTTCTTGTTTATCATCAGATACCGCGAACATCTCAATCTTCTTCTTCTTCTCCATTACCAGTTGATTCATATCATACCCCTTCTACTAGTGAATATTCTCTCACATCTGTAACACCAGTATCATTACAACCTTACAACAATGAAGAAGAGAAGAGTATTTTAAAATCTCATTTGCCTGATATAGTATATCAACATCAGAAAGAACATGATGAAACCATGGAACGATATGAACGAATGTTAGAAAAGATGCGAGCTACTGATGTACAACTTCAGTCATTATCTCGGCCGTGTATAAGCAGTACATCGAAAAGAAAATATGTGAGTAAAAATTCTTTTTTTTTAGTAGACAAGTTTTAGAAAATTATAGAAGAGAATTTTTCAATGGTTAATTTCAGGTTAAAACGGATAGAAGATCGAATGTGTCATGGAATAAAATAACTAGCAATAGAAATCATTTTTCACCAATCATTCTTCAAATCTGTCTTATTATTTTGGTTATCTTCAGTTTATTTGTTGTTTATTTCTTCAATGATATAAATATTTGGTGGAGTGATTATGTTGTTCCTGTGGGAATTGTTGAACAACATGACGAAGATTTGTTGAACTTTTGAAAATACTTATTTTATTTTGAATAGAAGTAGGTCAAAACAAGAAAAAACAACTTTATTATTCGTTGTTCTTCAATATTTTGAAGTATTTCTTTCAGTCTTCTTAATGAATTATGAAGAAGAGCTCTGTGTTGTTTTTTTTTATGGTACATACTTCTATTAATTATTATATTTTATTACACTTCGAGAGATCATTATTGAGCTCTATTCTTTGTTTATATTTTTTCTTTTGTAAATATCAATAGAATAAACTTGTATATTCTACGATATATTATTTTTCACATTTGAAATTGTTTTAGAATATTAACGAATTACGTGTCATGGGACAATAATATCTTTTGAAACTATGCTTTGTAAGTTTACCAAGTATACACAGAATAGAATTCATAAATCGCTGTGAAAATGCTGCTTCTTTGACAATTATTCCATGATAGATAAATAGTTTATTAAAAAGAAAAAAAAGTCGTCTGTTTTTATATCTTGCTCTTTTCATAGGTTGTAATTTAGATGTTTTGCAATGATCTAATATTTTATTATGCCTATAGATATAGGTCAAACGAGATTTGGAAGAAAGAATCAATGGTCTTCTTCGTTTTCTCATCTAAATTCATTGTTGACAGAGTCGTTGCCTTGCTTTGTTTTACTATTTGTTAATGTGGATTGTAAGAGACATAAAACTCTAGTCACTTGCTTCATTTATCTGTTATTTTCAAGCTAAACTGAACATTGACTTTAGTTGATATAGAAGAGAGTATACTCAGCAAGATCGAGCGCACAATCCAATCGTTTTGAGCAATTATCATTATTGATGTTGAGCTTGGAAAGCTGAGCGTTTAGGTGGGATCAAGACTGAAGAGAAGATGCACATCCATCACCACACCCTAGTTTGTTTTTCTATAACAATTTTTTTTCTTTGATAAATAAAACACGTTCTAACAATACCACATGAGACATTATCATTGAAATCTAGAATTTCATATCTACATCATCATTATGAGAAATAGTACAATCTTTATGCTTTCAATGAATTTTGTCATACACGTGGTTAATTATGATCGATCGTTGTTTGAAATATTTATTCAATAAATCATCTCATATGGAAGATGATTATATATGTAACGGCACAAATCCATTTATATTTGGACAATATTGTGAATATGAGTTTTATGGTGATAGCATTTCTTTCTCTGACTCAATTACAAAATGGGTTTAAATTACTTGAATAGTAAGAGCTATTTTGTGTTTGAAATTCGTTGACATTGCCTGCTTCTAATAGTAATGAAATAAATCCTGTTCCTTTTATCCATATGTCATCTATTTGTATATGGTTTTGTAAAAAGTCGAATGCTGAATCTTTAAGAAAAATGTTTGGTCTAAAACAATATATAAATTCAAAGATGTAGTGAGAAACTGCAATGATTATCATTCTTTATGATCCAACAGCACTGTTTCTAATGACCTAGCCAAGAATAGTTTGAATAAGATGTGTGGGTGTTGATGTGAGTATGAATCGAAAATGTACACATATACAATACCCACATCCTTAATTCATTTAGATGCGCTCTTTCAAGCAAGACTACTCTCTGTTGATTCTATTGCGCAGATACGACGAACTTACCGTATCTACGTGAGGATTTTCTCTGAAGATGCTATATAATACTGAGCAAAAATCATCCAGTGATAAGATACTTTTATTATCATAGAAATGTAGCCCATTATCGATAGTATTTGTGGTAAACAAAGCTCGGCTATATCTCTAGTTACTTTCGAGAATATGAAAATTTATTGGAAAGTATTGCAATACGAAGTGCTCCAAATGAGATCTATTCACTCTTGCTCGCGACACCAATACCTTCAGAACACGTCATCCGTTTGAGTTAAAATTCTTAGTTTCTTCCTAAACCTGTTAGGTCTACCTCCTTTATAAGTATAATCTAAATTGGTTAGATCGATTGAGCAAGAGTCTGCTTGAATCGGGTGCACCTTACGTGCAATGCGTCCTAGAGAGACTAATGGTTTATTCGAATCGGCTTCCGGTGATTCCTATTGTCCTTCCAAAGAAAACATTGACATGCATTTGAAAACGTAGTGATTTTTAAATTATTATATATGCCTATAGTTATTTGACAATCCCATTTTTAGTTAAATATTTATCTATATAATGATAGAGGCATATTATAAATAAATGCTAATGACTCCTTTTTTCAAGAGGCAATCGAACTTCGTTTGTATCAGCAATGGTTTAGATAAATGTATATAGCAAATTATAACCATAGAAAAATTAATATAAAGAGAGAAAAATGAATGAGAAGTACCATATGTCAACATATCAGAGCCTCGCATAAGACAAGACAAGTGACAACCTATTTCAGGATGATTCTATGAGAGAATTGTTCCGTTTTTTTCGTTAAAAGTACTATTTTTCAAGTCAATAATTTCTTTTGACGACTTTTTTTCTTAAATCATCTTCTGCATCAATCAATCGACATTTTAATATTTTTAAAAAAATCTTGAAATAAATAACATACTTGAAAAACTTTAGTTTTAATAAAAAACAAAACCGATTCTCTTATCGAGTTTCAAGAAAAAGAAAGTTGCAAACTAGTTCAGCTTAGAGAATATTTTCAAGAAGTTTCATCCAATGCCGTTCCACACAAAACTCTTAATCATATATGAACAAATGAGAAAGAAAATGAAAGAACAAACAAAAAAAAATTTACAATTTTCATTTGGAACTCTTGAAATGTAATGCTTTTCTTTTATCTCCATGTTCATACGGGTGGGTGTGGGTGTGGGTGAGGGTGTGGGTGTGGGTGTGGGTGTGGGTGTGGGTGTGGGTGTGGGTGAGGGTGTGGGTGTGGGTGGGGGTGTGGGTGGGGGTGTGCGTGTGGGTGGTGGCGTGACGCGCGGACAGTCTGTTTAGGTGTGGGGATATATTGGGTGTGGGTGTGTGGGTGTTGGT